GTCATACTCTTTACCCTTATGGACTGGTGATGGAGCTTAGAGGTCAAACTCTTTACCTTGGGTATTAGCAATGAAGGTTAAAGGTCATAATACCCCCAAGGACCAGCGATGAAGGTTAAAGGTCATACTTTCTCCTGGGCCCTATCTGAACTGCTCTTTGAGAAATCTGAGAGGTGGCAGTTCTGTGGTTGGTGCGTTTAATGTCATGTCTGTCTTAAACTGTACCATTAATTCATTATCCTTTAAAATGTTTTTTTATTTGTTTTCAGGTGGGTACGAGTGCATCATGAATCAATCATGTTATTAAATGACTGCTTTACGTACTGCAACCCAATCCCGCTTCAACAAATTTGATCGTCTAGTTGTTCCTAAATCGAATTAGACCTGAGCGCTTTAAATACCGAGGAAGAGCACTTACACAGCTCAAGCCATTAAACACATCTCAGTGTCTGCCACTAAAAATCTTACTATACTAAAAGGAGTACTGGATAATATTATTTTTAAAAGTATTCCATTATAGTTACACATGATTTGGGTAATGGATTACTTTTTGAAATTAATAAGATTGTTTTCAGAGATACTCTATACGGTGGCTTTTTCCTCACAAATGCCTTGCTTTCTCAACATCTAGTCATTGTTGCCAAAACCTGCTCTACTGAGTACGATGCTTCACAATTAAGGACGTTTACAGTTAAAACAGTGACACACAATCTGCACATCAGGGGATGAACAACAGCAAGGCCCTTTTGAGTGTCGAAAGAGCAGAAAATATAAAAAATCCAACAGGTGAAACCAAATGCAGGTTACACCTTTAACCCAAAAAGATAGCAATTACTAATCCAGTGACATTCCACAATTGTTTAGGTCATATGGGAGTTAAGAATGTGTTCTGCATAAAAGAATGATGAGGGTGAAAATGAGGTCCAGGACAATCTGATTGAGACAAGAGCGTCACTGCCTGTAGATCTTTATCTGTGGTCATGCTGCCATCATGAAAAGGATTCTGGTGTGCCGGCCTTTACCAGGACTTCTCACCTCGTGCATGGCGCCAAAGAGCTCCCAGTCGTAGTCGCTGAGCTGGCAGGCTATGTCCTTAGAGCTCATCTGCTCCAGGGAGTCCAGGGTGCCTTGGTCAGGCCCCTGCTGCTCCTTCAGAGGAATCTGCCAAAACCCAGGCCATGATCATCCATCTCATCCATAATTTTTAAATTTCTGATTGTGTGGTAGTCAAAGCAACAAATAATTGTTGCTTTCCAGTTCAGGTCTCCTTCTGGGTTATGCAGAGATCAAACATACAGTATAAATATAAACATGCCCTTAATTCTCATGATAACCCTTTCTGATTCTGGTAAATTTAAAATTAAAGTCATATTCTGACTTTTCAAGGCCATACTACCTGCAGAACTGAAACAGATTAATTGGTAACTTGACCCTTAAGCCTGTCTTTCAGAGCATGTGAGCAAGATTAATAACTTAATTTGTGGGGAATGACTTTTCATGTTTTGGGAGCGCAGGTCACATGTGTGACCCCACACTCAGCACAAATAATTGAAGGTGATGCAATCACAGCTCAATCTATCCATATCCAACTATCCAATCCATCTACTGGCCTTGGAATGCCAGACGGAGTTGCAGAAGGATTGTGTTTTTTTTTTCCACGCAGGCATATTGTCGGAAAGCTAGCTGGCGAATGATGAATTTCTGCGGGTGCTCACTTTACAATTACTTTGGACAGAATGTGCTTTCTACAAAACACCAGCAGAGCCCCTGACCAGGTGCGAAGTGGACGTTGGGAGCAAAGGAAAGGTACCAGCTGATCCACTTGGTTGGCAGTGCAGAGGAAGAGCCTCTCGTTCACCCCCAGGGATGTGAAGACAGCCGTGGTGTCCAGTTTGAGCTGGGCCCTCTCTGAAACACACAACACAGACACGCCATGTTCACCAAGAACCCTCCCACTAGCTCTAGCGCATCTCATCCCAGCCAGTTTCCCCCAGGATTCCTCTGAGAGGATGCAGGAAGCTTCCCCAGAAAATTCAGGAAAGGATGGATTGTGGTCTGACTTGCAAAATGGTACTTTTCAACTGAGGTTTGTAATTCTCTGCTCTAGCAGTGAACAATTCACTGAATGAAAAACATTTATACAGAGCATGGTGGTGTGTATCAGACTCAGAGGAGAAAAGAAAAACTATAAAACCTACATCAGGATTGTGCAATCATCTGTCATTGGATTCCATCAATTCTAATTGATTACATTAAGATTGTATAATAAAAGGGCAGCTGCACTCCTCAAAGGGAAGGAGTGGCCCCAACCTTGCATCTCCAGCTATAGTGTGCTCCTGATCAGCATCTCCAGCTACGGTGTGCTCCTGATCCAGCACCCCCCAGCTACAGTGTGCTCCTGATCAGACACAGTCAGCCCAGTCCAAACTGAAATCATGGTGCATTAGGATACAGGATTTCTGAGCTGTGGAAGGAATCCAGACACCTGCCAGAAGTGGAAGTCACAACGGAGCACTGCCCTACCTCCAGAGGAGTTAATTTTGACCAAGACATGGTTCCCTCCTGGGTTGACAAGCGCTGATATCACATCCTGCACGGAGGTGTCAACCGGGAGCATCAGGGAGACGGGGGTGCGATCGGGGCGGAAGATCTCATACAGCACTTCGGGGAACAAGGGGAGACAGGCTGGGGTCAGTTTACTAACCTGTAGTCGAGTGTGAGCCTGGGTGGGCAGTCCTGTCCAGAGGGCCCATGTCTCTGAAGGGTTTCATTCCAGCTCAGCTCTTAACAGCCTGGAGCTGCTCGTTACTGGAACTAATTTAACAGTAAATTAGCGCTCCTCGGGTGCTGGGACCTCCAACACCGGTCCAGGACCAGGGTGGAAGTCAAGCGTCCTCCTAATCATGAAGAGAGCAGTCCCCAGATCTCTCACCTATGGAGCTGATCTAGAAAGAATTCCCACATACTTGACACAAATGGCAGACAAACGTGAACTAGAATGAAGAAAGTTAGATGCCAAAGAGTGAAAAGAGGCTGTGGGCACACTCTAACAGTGCCTGGTATCCCATCAATGTAGTGCACCTTGAAACTCTTGTAGCATATTCTGGACCCTGCCTGGAATACTCCAGTCATTACTGGAACAAAACAAAATGTTTAGACCAACTGTGCAAATAATCAGCCTCACGGCTTTGTATACCTTGTCAGCCCTTAAAGGTACATGTTGAACAAATATAAATCCCACTGGTCATCAATATAAATATTATAATTCATAACTGATAACTATGCTTTGGAATTTTTGTGGTCTGTACTGTAAAAACCCTTCATCACCATCCCGGCAGACAGTATCAATTCTGTGATGCTCTTTTTCAGACTCTTGACGCAGCTCGTGAGAAGGGCAGCATTCACAAAAACATTATGGGCAGATTTTATCACTGAAACACATAACGAGAAAAGCCTTTTTGCCAATTCATTGACAAGAGTAGAGTGCAATTTACTCCGCAGTATAAAAGTGCTGCATTTCAAAATATTCTAATATTCAAATATCTCTGACACCATATGGTTACAGGCCAGCAGGAACCACAGGACTTGTGAAATCAATGCCTTACCATTGCTTTAGACCTGGGAGATTCGGTTGGTTCAATTGAGTAAATATTTAGGTGGGATAAGCCTTAGAAAACCCTGTGGATTTAGACTGGAGTTGAAAGAGTAAAATAGAATCCAAGTGGATTAAGTGATTAGTGAGCTATAGGTGCCAAAGTGTGTTTGAATAATTTAGGTCCCTGATAGCCAATGAGAGCCGCATTGCAGCAAGATTTCTAGCTATGAGTTGTGTAGACTTGTGAAGGGAATCGGACATTTGATCGAATGTGGGTGGAGTTTGCATGTTCTCCCTGTGTTCGCATGGGTTTCCTCCAGGTGCGCCGATTTTTCTCGAACAGTTCAAAAACATACTGGTAGGTTAATTGAAATTCTTGAAAAACTGCCCCTGTGTGACTGTGCACATGTCTGCGTCTGTCCTCCCTGTGATGGACTGGCCTCCTGTCCGGGGTGTGTCCTGCCTTGTGCCTGTGGCTTGCTGGGACAGGCTCTGGCTCCCCTCTGACCTGGATTAGAAAACGGACGGAGGGAATCTCGAGGCATGACTGTTCTGTAAATGATTCCTAACTGCCTGGTCTTCCAACACCCTTGCTTCTTTCGGAGGGTTGGGTCACTTTTCATCTCATCTGCACTCTCTGTTTTTTAAAATTGCACTATATATTTGACCAATTGGCTGTGAGCAGTGAAAAACAACTGGAAAATCTCGCAGGATCTTGTGAATCCTGAGGACAGGACTTGGGCACCACTGATTTGCACCAAATGTGCAAATTAACAATAAAAAAGGCCTTTCTGTGCCTGTGTTCAGGACGATGGAGCTTGGCTTTCAGGTAGAATAAGCAGGACCGGCTGTAGGCGAGCCCACTGTGAAGGAACAGATCCAGAAGCTCTGCGGTACTGCAGCATGGTTGAGGATAAAAACCTCACCTTTATCCTGCGATCTGATTGGCCGGCACTTCCTCACACATTCCTCCTGACCAGAAAACCAGTCGAACTCGTTAGCCTGTGAGAAAGACAGCGGGAGAGTCTGCTTCAGAACAGTCCTGCACAGGATCCCCAAGGACTCAGGGGAGTTTTGGAGGACTTGGGGGTTTGCGCTCACTGTGACAAGGGGAGGATGCCAGCCCGGCCCGTGCAGAATACAGGTCGTGGCGAGGTCACGCCAGCACTGCGCTGGCTGGTCTCCCCCCCCCATCCCGCCCCGGAGCTAGAGACAGCAAGCCGAGCGAAACCCACCTTGCTCTGAGACGCTGCGCTGTAGCCGTTCTCCAGCCTGCGAGAAAGAAATCAAAAGGCACATTTCAGGATGAGAATGAGACACTGAACCGGAGCTGCACAAACCAGCAGGGAGAGAAAATAATTATCATAATGAATTCTAATCATAACTAATAATTACCATGAAATCTAAAATACTTAAGTCTTGGTGGCATTTACAAATCCACATGGTCTCTTTAAGTTCTTCCAAACGGTAATCAATTCTAGTGACTAAAAATACCATTAAGAGGAAAAAGACTGAAGACAGTTTGACTGTCAGCAGGGGTGCGAGCCAGACGCTGAGCAGCCGCCTTCTGCTCCCCTGCCATTTCCTGTTTGTCACTCACGCTCGGGTCTTCCTCCGGTCAGGGAGCTGCTGCTCCTTCAGCATGACGGTCAGACGGGAGTCCCTCACCACTGCCCCCTTCAGGCTCTGGGAGGGAATTACAAGGATGGGCAGAAAGCGCAAAGCGCAAGGAAGTCAGGAGCTGCCTGTGCCAGCCCAGCCCTCCCAGCAGACCACTGAGGCATGCCGACCTTCCGCAGGGTGCAAAACGGCTCAACCCACACCTCCTCCACCGCCTTTAAAGGGATTATCCCGATAAGCCTGGGTCTGAGCACGGTAAGGCATCTTGAGGTTCAGAAAAGAAGGGGGGTGTGTGTGCTTTGAAAACTGGATTGCAAAGACACATTATGGGAGTCACATTTCACTG